TATTGGAGACCACAAATACTATTACTAGTGGACAATCCTAGAACAAGCTGGAATCTCATACAGTTTTGCAACAGCTTAAAAAAAGGTGGGTTATACATTCTTGGCCACGTATTGGTTAACAAGAATAACTGTTCAAACGGCATTGCAAATGGATCTGAAACCGATGGTGATTTGGATCAAATTTTCTTTAAAGAATATGAAAAACAAAGAAACTCATGGATACAATTAAGAGACTTGATGAATATCAAGTCCTTTATTCAAATCAATTTGGATTCAAGTGTCATTTGGGGAGTCCGAAATGTCTTTACAGGTTCTGGATTGGGCGGAATGAAACCCAATATAGTTGTTTTGGGCTTTTTTGATCTAAGTTCTTATAGAGATTTAAATTTTAATAAATTGAAAAAATTAGATCATTCAATCACTTTGAATATAAATAATTGTGAAAGAACAAGATCAGGGTTTTTAAACCAAGTTAAAATTGATATTGAAACACTACCAACAGACCATTGTAGAATTGAAGAAAAAATCAAAATTACGGAGTGGGTCCATATAATTGAAGATTTATTGTTATTAAAGGCCAATGTCGCTATTGCAAAGGGTTTTCCGAGGTTGAATTTTCCGTCAGAAGATGTCGATTATGAACTATCAAATAAGAAAAAGAAAATTATTGATTTATATCCGATTCAAATGTCCGCTGAAATTGGAGACGAATCAGGTACAAAGGCAGCACTAAGTACAAATTTTGATACATATGCATTGATATTGCAATTGGGAGCAATATTGACAACTGTTCCCAGATGGAAAAGGACACATCGATTAAGAGTGGTTGTATTTGTTGAGTATTTAGATGATGTCGAAGAAGAAACTAAAAGAATTAAGGAATTGATATCGATATTAAGAATCAGAGCAGAAATTATTGTGCTGTGTTTTAATTCCGGGGATTTTGGTACTTATAACTATATTTGCAAAGGAGATAAAGGTGATAAGAAAATCGTTGAAAAGGTCAATTTGCAATTAAAGAAAGATGAATGGTGGTTAACGCTTAAAAAGATTCGAAATAGTAATAATTTTCAGTTATTAAAAGAAGTAAAAGGTGAAGGGGAATTAGAATCAGAGCAGGAAATGATGCTAGAGGAACTACCTACGGCGGCATTATTACAAAGAACTAAAACTCACTCAAAAACATTTTTTAAAAGAGATCGGAAATTGAGTTTACCAAATCTTCAAAGAATGGGCATCAATTTCAATATGAGAACAAATAAGATATCTAATGCTGATTTTTTTCAAGCAGTGTATTCAGACTCAGAAAATTCGGAGGATGAATTTACATCGGGGTCAGCATATGATAGCGATTCCTCTGTGGATAGTATACCTCACGTATCAAGCCAAGGGACAGACTCAATAAAAAGAAGCAAAACATTTGGTGGAGATGTGGTAAGACCCCCAGC